CAGCAGCCACTGCAGTCTTTGTATATAGTTAAGAAAGTACCTCTGCTTCACTTGTACGATCTGACGCCCTGTCAATATCCTGCTGCTGCTGCTGCTGTTGCTGCTGCTGCTGCTGCTGTTGCTTCTTCTGCTGCTGCTGCTCTTGCAGGTGCTGCTTCGCTGCCTGTGCAAGAATCCTTGCGATTCTTTCCCCTCTTTCTTGTGCTGGGGAGCGACGCTGTGTTGCTGCTGCTACAGTTGGTGCTCTTGCTGCTGCTGCTGCTGCTGCAGTGAATACAGCACTCTCATTAAATGTTATTCTTCCTTCTTTTGCTGCTGCTTGCTGCTGCTGCTGCACTGCAGCAGCAAGACAATAAGATAGATATCTTGATATAAAGGGGAGCCAATCAAGGGCAAGCATGTCTTTGCCTCCGCAGCACAAAAAGACATCTATTTGACGCACCCCTTCTCCTGCTGCTGCTGCTGTTGCTGTTGCTGCTGTTGCTGCTGTTGCTGCTGCTGCTGCTGCTGGTGATGTTGCTGCTGTTTCTGCTGGTGATGTGGTTGCTGCTGCTGCTGCAGCTATAGAGGGGGAAGGGCTTGCAGCGGGTGACAACCGTCCCGCTGCCGTTGCTGCTGCTGGAGTTGCTGCAATTGGTGCTAGTGCTGGTGCTGGTGCTGGTGCTGGTGCTGCTGCTGCTGCTGGTGCTGCTGCTGCTGTGCCACGCATGCGGAGAGTGAGCGGATTGGGAAGTTTATCACGTTTTGCTGCTGCCATTAGCAGCGCCTGCGGTCGTAGCTGCTGCTCCTGTTTCAGCCCCTGCTGCACTGCATTGCTGCTGTTGCTGCTGCTGCTGTTGCTGCTGCTGCTGCTGCTGCTGCATTTGCTGAGTTCCTTTGCTGCTAGATCTTGTAGCTCACAAGGACGTAGTTTAATATGACGAGCAGCACGAACTAAGAAAGGAGCAACTAAATATACACTAACACTTGTACTCTCATCTACCTGTACATACACCCCAACACAGACACAGCAGCAGCAGCAGCAACAACAACAATACAGCAGCAGCAACAGACACAAGAACACACACACACACACACGCACACAAACACAAGGACCAGCAGCATCATCAGTAGGACCCGCAGCACAATCAGCAGGACGACCACCACCAGCAGCAGCAGAATAAGCAGCAGCAGCAGCAGCAGGATAATAAGCAGCAGCAGCAGCAGCAAATCCAGCAGCAGCAGCAGCAGCAAATGGTTTGTGTTGTATTAGTTAGTGCTATCCTTACCCCTATAGATCCTTTCCTCTGATCCCCCCTCATACTACTACTACTACTACTGCTGCTACTGCTGCTGCTGCTGCTGGTGCTGTTGCTGCTGCTGCTGCTGCTGCTGCTGCAGTAATAATAAGAAGGAATAGGCCTAACAGGTACCCAATTAGCCTCGAAGGCAGCAACAAGTTGTAAATAAAATAAAATATTTTCTCTCCCTAAAGAAATATAAGAGCGGCAGCTATAGCATAACGCACTCTGCCACGATACTCTGCTGCTGCTGCTGCTGCTGCTGCTGCTGCTGTTGCTGCTGCTGCTGCTGCTGTTGTTGTTGGTGCTGCTGTTGTTGTTAGTTGTTGCTGTTGTTGTTGTTGATGATGATGATGATGAAGTTGTTGTAGGGGCGGTGGTGGCGGTGGTTGATGAGGGGTTGGTGGTGCTGCTGCTGCTATTGCTGCTGCTGCTGCTGCTGCTGCTGCTGCTGCTGCTGCTGGAGGTGGACATCATGCTGCTACGACGGCGGCTACGGAGTGCTAAACCTATTACCTGACGAACTGTTAATGGTCTCCTGCTGCTGCTGCTGCTGTAGCTGCTGCTGCTGTAGTTGCTGCTGCTGTAGTTGCTGCTGCGGGTGAAATCAGGAGGAGAATACGGCGTTGCTGCTACTGCTGCTGCTGTGTCTGCTGCTGCTGCACCTGCAGCTGCTGCTGCTGCCGCTGATCGTGTCCTCATGCTGCCATGGTATCCGCTAACATCATCTAAAGCCCTTACTGGAGGAAGGCGCAATCGACCTTCTGCTGCTGCTGCTGCTGCTGATGGTAGAAAGCTGCTGCTGCTGCTGCTGCTGCTGTTGCTGCTGCTGCTGCTGCTGCTGAGGCTGGAGGTGAAGCGTAGGCTGTTTAATAAAGCCCGACGACTCGCCTCACGAGCTGCTGTTGCTGATTCCAACGACACACGCCGCTGCTGCTGCTGCTGCTGCTGCTGTTGCTGCTGCTGTTGCTGCTGCTTCTGCTGCTGTGGAGAGCCTGGCTTCTCAGCAGCAGAGCATGAGATGGAGGGTGATCCTTCTGCTGCTGCTTCTGCTGCTGGTGCTGCTGCTGCAGTAGATTGTGCTGCTTCTGCTGCTGGAGCATCTCTTACCTCGCACTGCAGCACGAGTAATTGCTCCTGCTGCGGGTCTTGTGGCTGCTGCAGCTGCTGCAGCTGCACTGGCTGCGAGTGCAGCTGCGGCCGCTGCTCCTGCTGCTGCTGCTGCTCCTCCTGCTGCTGTTGGAGTTGTACAGGAATAAGCTTTGGAGTCTGAGTACATTTGGGTGTTGTTGATGTTGTTGCTGCAGCAGCAGCAGCAGCAGCAGCAGCAGCAGCAGCAGCAGCTCGTCGTTCTTCTGCTTCTGCTGCTACTGCTGCTGCTGCTGCTGCTCGCCCTTCTTCTTCTTCTGCTACTGCTCTGGGATAACCCAAGTTACTGCCGCTATTGCTGCTGCAGCAGCAGCTCCTGCTGCAGCTGCAGCTGCTGCTGCTGCAGCATGCGGATTCTTCATCACGAACACGAGAAGACAAGGGTGTCCTTATATTTTCTTCTTGCCCTGGGGGGCCCCTTCGGGGGCCCCATTTTAGTGCCTCCTGGTCCCCCCATTTGTAAGCCCCTTTGAGGGCCCCCTTGGGGGCCCCTGCTGCAGCAGTTGCAGCGTTTGCATGCGTTGCTGCTGCTGCTGCTGCTGCTGCTGCTGCTGTAGGAGAATCAATTAAGGAAGAAAGAAAGACATTAGAGGAGGGACAATTAATTATATTATTATTATTATATAGAGGGGGCCTTAGCGTGCCGTCTACACGACTGCTGCTGCTGCTGCTGCTGTTGTTGTTGTTGTTGTTGCTGCTACTGTTGCCGTTGCTGTTGCTGCTGTTGTTGCTGCTGCTTCTGCTGCTGTCGCTATCAGAGAGAGAGGGATTGTTAAAGAAAAATGCTGCAGGGACAGGCAGCAGCAACTCGGGTTCTCTACTCTGCTGCCGACTGTCTGCAGCACGTGCAGCAGCAGCAGCTGCTGCTGCTGCTGGTGTTGCTTCTGCTGCTTCTGCTTCTTCTGCTGCTGTTGTTGTTGCTGCTGCTGCATGCTCTTGATTAAATGTATGAGCAGCAAACTCCTCAGGGGAAGAGAAGAAGAGGGCAGTCCATACCTCAACAGAAGGCTCCTGCTGCAGCTGCTGCTGCTGCAGCAGCAGCTGCTGCTTTCTGCTGCTGCGACCTGCTGCTGCTGCAGCTGCTGCTGCATGAGGGGCGTCATGATCAACAGGAGACTCGTCACCTGCTGCAGGGGACAGCCGTGCATGCAGCTGCAGGCGGCTCATTCCTTATGAGGTAATTGAGGTGTATATACACCTCGTGCTGCAGCAGTTAAGGTGTACGTACACCTGAAGGGGGTAGCAGCAGCAGAAGCAGCATAGATGGGTCAATACTAATGTAAGAAGGGTCCTGCTGCTGCTACTGCTGCAGCTGCTATTGCTGTTGCTGCTGCTGCTGCTGCTGCAGCTGCTGCAGCAGTCGGCAGCGGCGTGCAGCTGCTGCTGCTGCTGTTGCGCTAGGGAGGCAAAAGAAATAAGATTAAGGGAAGAGAAGAAGAAGAAAAGAGGAAAAAGAAGAAAAGGAGATAAATTTATTATTTATAGAATAAAGGAGCACCAAGGAGTATAAGATTGCTGCTGCGCACACAACAGAGGGCCCTCTTGCCCTGCTGCTGCTGCTGTTGCTGCTGGTGCAGCAGCAGCAGCAGCAGCAGCAGCAGCTATAAGTATTTATACACCGCAAGAATTAGCTGCCTTCCTTCTTTATTTATGTTTATTGAGTCAATAAATAATTAAATAATTTAATTTTATATAATAAATTTATTTATTTTATCCATAACAACAACAACACCTCCCTATACACCCCGATATCGAAGCAGAGCTGCTGCTACTGCTGCTGCTGCAGCAGCAGCAGCAGCAGCAGCAGCAAGAGCAGAATCGAATACAATACCTATATAGATATGTGTATGTATGTATATCCTTCTGCCCCTTTTTTTAATTCTTTCTTTTTAATTAATTAAATAAATAAATAAATAATTAATTATATTTATTTATTTATTTTATTTTTATCCTTTTTTTTTATTGTTTTTTCCTTAATATATATTTCCTTACACGCATCGCTCTTCGCTCTCTTCTTCCTTCTTCTTCCTTTTCTTGCATGCAGCAACTTTATTTATTATATTTTTATTTTATTTTATTTATTTTATTTATCTTGTTTATTTTATTTTATTTGTTTTATTTTATTTTATTTATTTTATTTTATCTTTATTTATTCTCTGATCTCCTTATAAGATCACCTATTGGGGTGTATAGGCAGCTAGTAGAGTTTTTGCGGTTCTTTTTGCATATAAATTAGATAGATATAATAAAATAAATAATTAAATATTATATTTAATTAAATAAAGAAAAAAGGATTAAAAAAACAATTGTTTATAGGAAAAAAGGAGAACTTTTTATTACCTCCTGCTCCATACAACAATCATTTATTCAATAGCTGCCTATACACCCCAAATATATATATACACACACTATAAAAATAATATAAATATAATATAAATATAATATAAATATAAATATAAATATAAATATAATATAAATATAATATAAATATAATATAAATATAATATAAATATAACATAAATATAATAAAGATGTACTATGAATATTAGTATATTATTTATTTTTTTTCTT